AGGATTTAAAGCCCGGAGTCATAGAGCCTACATCTCCCCATGGGTGCAAGTGTTGGTGATTTCTAGCCAGTCGAGAAGACACGGCTGATTCTCCAGGCCTGGGTGGGGGCAGAACAATCCTCAGCGCCACACGGATGAGGGAGGAAAGTTCTCGGCCCTTGGGACGTAAATTACATCCAGATATCACTTCCCTGGCTCCCCTCCTCCTTCCCCCCTCTCGCTTTCTCTCTAGAAGATTCTCTCCTGTCACCAGTGGCAAACACAGCTGGTGGAGTATTTTAGCAGTGATGATGGCAGCCGGTTTCTGATAGGCTTCTGGGGAAAGCGACACATCACTGGCTGCGTCGGGGGCCTTGCGCTTTTGTTTTTACAGCTCAGAAACCAAACCCCCTTTTGAGCAGGCAGCAAACCCCCTTCCCGGCACGTGACACCCCCGGGCGGGGCTGCCCGGACAGACCTGCGAACAGGCCATGATAAATCTCCTACCTCCTCATTTGCACCTTGGTCGTGTGTAGGCAACGAGACCCGTGGTCTGGCTGCCGGAGGAAATGGGACTCACAGGGAAGCCGGTGACTCCATCATGCGAGCGTCCGTTGCGCAAAGTATCGGGCAGGGAAAACATAGAGATGCTTCCTCTCCAGAACTGCCTGGTTGATTCGAGAGCTAAAGAGGCCTGGGAAGCCCTTGGCCATGAGAACGGCTGGAGCCGTTCTGTATTCTCGGGGTGAAAGAGGTTCACATGCAAACCAGGAGCATTTCCAAGTAACGCCTCTTCCTGCGCCTTCCCCCGTTCGCAGGAACGCTTTAAGGACTAAAGGTGCCATGAGAAAACACATTCACTTGCATTCCCGTTTATTTCCATGCTTCACCTGGAGCCTGTTACAAGACAACTCATTTTTTCCTTCCAGTGCCCACCTCCAACACTACACAGGCAGGAGGGAGAGAGCGGCAACCACAGACGGGGAGGGAGTTCGAAATAATGACGCCGCTTAAAGAAAAGTCCTGCTGTTTTGCATTTTTTTCTTTTTTTTTTTAATCTGAACTTTGAGACATCTTACTTGGTCCCGAACCAAAGACTGTAAGCCTATAGTGACGCTGTACCATAAAAAAGAAATCCCTGGGGGCTAAAAGCTCTTGGCATCGCAGGCCCCCTGACACTGTGCGAGACCTGACATCTGGTCACTCCCAAGCCCTTCTGGAAAAGCCTCGAAAATCCCCCCTCCCCTAAAACTTGATCTCTTAAAAGTCTGCTCAAAACAGTTTAAACCACGAACTAGTTTGTCTTATTTATTTATTTATTTATTTATTAATTTTTGAATGTCCCAAATATCAGCTATGCTATGACCATTTTCAACTCAAACGTGAGGGAGGCGCTGTCACCTCTGGGGTTTTTCAAAGTCCTCAATGGAAACATTCCCAGGAGATCTGGGCTCAACGGCCGAGGAAGCTCCCAGCCTGGAGGCCACACCTGCTGGACTCGAAGCCACCTGGACAGTGCTTTATATCAATGGGCCACGGAATAAAGGTGTTCAGGTGATTCAAGAGACTTAAAAGAGTGCACGGAAGGAGCCCACGGAAGTTAAGAGAGTCAATAATAGTTCCAGGCTTTAACGCGACTCACCACGACTGCGTTTACTGCTGGTGGTTCCTGTTTACTACGAGCCCAGGAGATCACCTGGGATTCTGGGACTATGTTAACCGTGCCTTTTACTTTTGACCTTCCGATGCTTTGACATCTCGGAGCCTTGCTGCCTCTAGAGGGGATGCCCCTCCCAGGGTTAGCGGATTCCTTGCCTGGGAGAGACATCTTCACATGCAAACCGAAAACCCACACCCCCAACCACCGCCTCTACTGGGCTTTCACCTCGGGGCCCCTATCCACCTGCCCCAATCACCCCAGGCCCAGGTAGCAGACACCCAGGGGCAGCTCTGCCCCAGAGCCCCCTGAAATTATCCACACCAGCCAATCCTAAGCCTGCTCGTTCTTTCCCACAAGAAAGGCTCTTGCCCATGTTCCCTCCTCGTCCCCCTGCCTCCTGACTGACTCTGGAGATTCCCCACGTGGCCTGCCCATCTTCTTGGGATCCGAGTAGAACAAGCCACCTTTCAATGGCGGCTGTGCCCCCCATCTGTCAGCCTCCCCACACCTAAAGAGTAATAACATTTTAAAACACGGATGTTGGAATGGGACGTGGGGACTCTGACCGTCTAAGGTGCCCACCCGGACCAGCACTGCCTTTTCCTGGCAGAGAAGAAGGGCACAGTGACCCCTAGAAAGGCTTGAGCCTGCCGGCCGCGTTTCTCACTCAAGATTCCTCATCTAAACTACAGAATAAGAAACAAAAAACAAAGACAAAAACACGCCCAGGGTGATTTTTCCAATCTTCTGAAGGATGGTACCTTTCCTAAGCCCTCCGGTCTAGGAGCACAGAAGTGAATTCCTTACAAACAAGTGCCTTGGGGCGTTGGGGCTTAGAACCTGGCTGGGAAAGGTGATGGTCCTGCAGAGTCTAGGGGTGAAGGAAAACCGTCAATTCTCCGCACAGCCCGTTGCAGTCTGCCTCTTGGAAGAGGCTCATGTTGCCAGGGAAACCAGGGAGGACCCCATGACTGTGTGTGTGTGCGCGCGCGCGCGCGCAGGGGGAGGGGGTGAAGGTTACCTGTGCTCGGTGCTCCCCGACGGCAAACTGTATCACCGCCACGCCCGGGTGGTGGCTGTCCTCGATCCTCTCCACGGTGCTGGAGTCGATCTTCAGGTCGCTGCTGATCTCGGCGCTCTGGATGAAGTCTTCCGTCTTCAAGTCCTCCACCTTCTTCAGCTCCCCGTTGGCCAACTGGATGATGGAGCCTTTCATGAAGTAGGGGGGCAGCGTGGGGGGCGCGGCGGCGGGGGACGCCACGGACTGCACCACGGGCAGGTGGATCTGGGCCTGCACCATGGCTGGGTAGGCGGCCTGCGTGGCCAGGGCCTCCGGGCTGAAGTTCTCGTTCTTGGGGAGGGCGGTGGTGACGAACGTGTGAGGCACTGCCGCAAACTGGGGCGACGACGTGGCGATGGCGGGGGCGGCTCCCGAGCCCTCCACGTCGGCGCCGCCGACCGGGATGAGCAGGGGCTGCGTGCCGGGGATCACCAGGTGCTGGGGCAGGCTGCCGGCGTACGTGATCGCCTGCTGCTGGCTGCTCAGGTAGCCGATGACCGGCGCTTGGGTCCCCGCGTAGAAGGCGGTGGCCGGCAGTCCGACCGGGAGTGGCTCCGAGGCGCTGTGTGTGGTCTGGATGACCGTGTGGGGGGACAGCGTGGCGACGGCGGCGGCCTTCACGCCTTCGGGGCCCAGGGCCTGTTGGGGCGACAGCGCATAGGACCGGTGCCCGGGCTTCCCTAGATGCAGGCCGCTTTTGTCGTTGAGGGTGGAGGGCGAGGCCTCCCGGTGCGTGACCGGCTGCACCTCCAGGTCGGCGGCGGGCGCGCTGCTGGTGGGCAGGACCATCACAGAGGCCCGGACCCCCGAGGAGTCCCGACCGCCGTAGTCCGCGGCGCTCGGGTGCACCACCACGTGCCTGGACTCGTACGGGTGAGGAAGCGACTTCCCGGCCTTCACCAGGCCCAGGTCGGCGGAGCTCGGGGCCCCGTACCTGCGGCCCTTCTCCATCTCGCCGTTCAGGAGCTCCTTGGCCTGCATGGCCTGCAGCCTGCCGCTGTCGGCTTTCTTGGCGGCCTCCCGCGGGACGAAGTGGCCGCCGGAGTCGGTGTATTGCACTACGACCTGGGGGGAGGGCCCCAGGGTGAGCGTGTGTGGGATCATCGTCTGGTGCGGGTGCAGGTGGACGGGGATGGCCGGAGGGGACGCCGTGCGCCCGGCGCTCTGCGGAGAGCTGGAGATGTGCACGTACTGGTTTTGCTGGGTGGGAGGGG